GAGAACAATCGGAAAAGATTGCGAAACTTTGTTTTATCAAGCTGATTGGAGAAAATGCATAATTTACGAATAATTTAAGATAAGCGAAAGCTCTTTGACGACAGAAAATTTTAAAAAGGTTTAGGTAGAGTAAAGCTTACAGAACCTGTAAAAGTCTCTTAAATTGGTACTACTTCAAGTTCTGAAATCCAAATATTTAAGAATCTTTATAAAAAAGTAATTGACTTATTCTATATTATCTCATAAATTTTCGGAAGAGTGATGAATGCTTTGTGCCTTAAAAAAGCAAAATCAACGAGGTGCTTTAAGGACAAAGAATGCCTATCCCTCGACTCATGGTAAATGGAAACAAACTGCAGTTTTGTGGAATAAATTTCACTTTCCACGGAGAAAGTTCCAATGTACACATACGTCTAGAAGAGGTTAAAGCTATATAACTTGTACTTTAATTTTGTCCGGTTTAAGAGCATATAAATGGGGTAGAAGAAGAGCTTGGCCTAACGTGCCGCGCCTTGCAATTTTTGAGCATATTTGCTTGAAAAATAGGAACTTCTAGAAAATTTGTCGTAAAGTGGGGATAAATGTGAATCAGACTGAAGCGAATAAGATGTTGAGAGTTGCTAATTGAACAATCCAGGAATAAAGTCCAAGAAGTTCTCAGCCAGGATATATTGAAGACAGAGCTCTATGTTGTTGTATGTGGTGGAGCGGAGGCTATGCGGGAGCGAGAGTTTGCGGGTGAGACGACGATGAGCTGCTGATGCTGTAAAGCGAAGGCTGTGCCGGCCCACGCACTAGGAATAGTCTCCCAGTCGCATTCGCCTGGAATCTCAAAAGTTAATTTAGCGATTGCGCATCAAAAACTAATGAACGAAAGCTTTTACCTCAGTACTTTGGTAAGTTAATGGGCGAAAGCAATCCTTGAAGGCAACATTTGATTACTCCAAACTATACTTGTTGTTAAAGGTCGCTATATCAAAAATACGCTTCATCCGTATCTTAATACGCTACGAAATGTTTAAATGATCCAATATACCTAAATGTAAAACAAACGATAATCGATTACTAGTCTACCGCTCGTCATTCCTATCACAAACTAGCTTCTAAACTCCGTTAACTTTAGGTGCGGTAAGCGGGTAAGAGGAAATTGCGATAGGGAAATTACTGGGTAATTGCCAATACTTTCAAAAATTGACGTAATGTGAGCTTCTTCTGCTTTTCAAACTGCTTCGTTTAACCACAAGGACTTCTGCCGCTAGCACTTGCGTAAAATAAGGTAATGCTTGCAGTACGACTTATATACGCTAAAATCGAATCATATAACTTTAAGATGTAGGCTACACTCTGAACAATTCGTTTATATCGTTTCATAATACTTATGAAACCAGTGTTCATCCTGAAAGAAGTCTTACAAGAAAAGGCTAACGAAAACAAGCAGGAGGGCTGGTCTCAAGAGTCCACAGCAAGAACCTTCTCTCTACATCTCAACGTGAACTATGAATATTTTCACAGTCACCCTAAATAGTAATTGTGAAAATTTTTCTAGTCCACGTTTAGATGAACTTATTTAGATGAACTTAGGTATCACGCGACACCCCTGTTCTTAGCTCATAGCTTTATTCTGTTTTTTACAGCTTGACAAAGCCCAAGGAATTGATTTTCCTCCTCTCGATCGTGCTCCTTTAACGCAGCGAAGTGAGGTTTTTTTGAAATTGATAAATTATTTAGTGAGCCAAAAGGTTTTTACTGTACAACATGGTTTTTTTGAAAGTTGTAGTCTTTTAATAGACATAAAATTATCGTTGAAATAAGTGTTTTTCATTTAATTTAATCATCTGCATAGACAAGCGCACCATTGCTTGAACACCTGTTAGATGCTGCGCTAGATAGATGTTTGAGGGCTGAGTTCAAGTTGTAATATCATAAAAGACGAATAAATGAGGACAAAAATTCCTAAGTTACCCTCAATCCATCAATGTTGGCTTTTGCTTCAATTTCAAATCAAGTATCTGGGCTATAACACCTTAGCTAGGAGTTATTGGCCGTAATGGAGGTTCTGCCAGAATTAAAAATGAGAACAAGGCTAGTCAGAGCATTTTATGTTGTCTTTTCTAAAGAATGATTACTACCATAGCTGCAATAGCTCACATTTTTTCGTCTGCATAAGACGTTATATACTATTTCAATTATATCGTATTGGCAATTAAAAACTAATCATCATGAAACATGCCAAAATTAGGAATTGAGGACAAGACGCCGTGAGGTGATAGGATTTTGACTCCTCCACTGATTAAAATAG